TCGCATGATCCCGCGGGCGTCAGCTATCAAATTCATGACAGCTCCCAGAACACCCCCCAGTTCCCAACCGCCCTTAATCCGACTGACTCTAGTACGAGTCAAGCGGCTCCAGCCCAATCAAGTCAGCAGGCTTTGGGCGCCCACAGGTCGCACGGCCCTCGCCCTAGGAATGCGATTAGATCGCTAGTAGAGAAAAGACCAGTACACTGGAGGGTTAAAGACGCACGCAAAGAGCTAGAAATCACAAGCTCTAATATCCCCTCAGCATCGACGCAGTCCTCCCGAAAAAATCCCACACTGCAGATCGAATCTTCATTGGTCGACTGCGTGAAGGACAACGCCAATGGTCTAATGATCTCGTCACTGTTTCAGTATTCCTTATATCCGACCACAAATGATATTGATACGTTGGCCGATAGAGCGCTTGCCAATGCGATCGCCAACTACAAGCACAATGGTATTAATTTATCTTCCTCCGGTTCATTCCGAGACTCATATGGGACACAGCGAAAGAACTCAACACGTGGAAAAAGAGGAGAGAAGGTCAAAGCGCTCTTGCACGACTGAAAGGGCTGGTCAAAAAGCTTCACAGGGACTCCCAGGGTAATGCCCGAGGGTTGGTGGTTGCAGCCTATCACCTATTCCTTCCAGTTCTATTCAAGAACACGAACGAGATCGTACAAGTGCGCAAATGGGACGCATCAGTGTTGCTGACGAATGATGATTACCTCGATGCAATCGTTCAGGTAAGCACGTATCTCAATATTATCCCGCTCACATTTGACGTTCAATTCAGAGAGAGATGAACGATGGGCAAGTCCAGTCGGTTTGCATCCCATTCGGCAACGACGCCCTCGTTGGCATTGCAGAATACATACTGGTCGATCAAGGGTATCATCAATATATATCGCTCGATGGACCTGACTGGGAAGTTGCCCTCGGGAATACCTTCGTCCTTTCTGCAGCAATCTGTAACTGGATCATACGGCGATGTTCGAGGGACGGCTTGTTTCAAAACACCGATTTTCACTGTTCGGAAAACGAGACATGCTACAATAGAATGAAAGATCGGATGTCATCATTGGTTGGTAATGAGAAGGTGGAGTTTCACGGACTGCTATCCTTCATGCGTGATCTACTGTATTCACTTTTTCCAAAGGATGAGGCATAGTAGTAGGTATGTACGTAGTATTCAGACCTTTGTTGCCGCGTTGTGATTTGTTTTTTGTTTGGTCTCACTGTATTTGAGCCGTTGCGTAGTTTATGTAACTTGAAGTCCACTTTGGTATCATGTTTTAGGTAACGCGCTGTACCAATTCGACCTTCAACGTTGCAACCTCAATGATCATTATGAAATAGGCTCCCAGATGCTGTAGCGCGAGTTTGTACGTATAGCGCATACATTCTCAGCTTTCAATTTCAATTTCAATTTCAGCTCTCCGCGTTACTAACCGACGGCTCCGTCAGCGCGTGTCCCGCGCTCACTAGCATCTACACTTGGACCAGCCGAACACGGGAAACGAAGACTGGGCATGTCGCGCATGCCATTTTCAGCGTTCAATCAACGTCAACGCACTTTATTCACACTGGATGTACATTTTCGACGTATGAATTTGGGTATCAACTTAACGGTGAATAAAACTTTCCCTCATAGGCGCACGTGCAGCTGACTTTGCCGATGGCTATTAAATGAAGCAGAAGCTCTACACCTCGTTTCCAACTCGTGCCATCTTCCCGCAGGCTCGCCGCTTCTCATGTCCCAAGTGGAGGACGGTTCACATGCTTCGATGTCGTCCCAGGCAGAAGGAAACCCGCAACCTCCAGCATCGTCCCTAGCAGTGGCCACGTCTGAGAGCGCTCGTCAGAGACGGAAAATTGCTCAATTAGAGGAGAAGCTGCAACTACTCGAGTCGGGGCAGGCAGCGAAGCAAAGGTATGCGTGCCACCGACGCTGACATCCACCCGGTGCTCACTATCTTCAGGGAGACCAACTACTGTGTCTCCAAAGGAAGAGCTATCAGAAGAATTGTTACCCTATATGATACTATCGAAGACTTGATTAATGAGAACGATAGGAGGTGCGACAGCAGCGATGACGAGGTGACTCCCGAGTTAGTGTTTCTCACCTGTCTCGTGGGTGCTACTTATGGACTGTGTTAACGTAGGCAAGATCGCTTGCAAATGGGATATATAGCCCTCAACAACGCGCTCCCCTGGTTTCACCAAAAGGCGACAGAAATGGAGTACGACGACTATATGCATATGTTAAAAAAGGTGCGTGCAACTAGTTTCAAGATTTGTTTTGCGCTGAATTTCTGTTCAGCTTAGGCAGGGAGCGGACAGTGCTCGAGGAGATGATACCTCCAAGCTCAAGAGTCTCGTTGCCGACTGGGTCAATCGGGAATTCAAGCCAAATCCCCCAGTTGACCGCGAGGATAAATACTGTCGCGGATTCGTCAACGACGCATGCGGCCAACTGCTCTGTCCGACCGAACTAGACTGGAACAATCCGACGTAAGTACTGAACTCAGGATCTTGCGCGATACTAATTATTTACCAGCGTCAAAGCAGGAATTAGGGATCGTGTTGAAGGTCACATTGTGACGGAAATGTCTTGGCCGGTATTTCTCTACCAAGGGTATACTGCTGATGCAAACAACCTGGAGGAGGGTCTATTTAAAAGCAGACTTTTGGTTCAGGTTCGTCGTATCTACGTATCTCAACTAAGCTCATGTTTGGTTGGCAGGCCTTTAAAGCCATATTTACCTCCCCCTCCTCCGCAAAGGAAGTGGCCGGTGACGGCGATGGCGCCAACATCATTGAAAACAACAGACGCGCCAAGAGAGATATTTCTGGCAAGAGAGTCAAGACCCACGTCGCACAAATAATTAAGATGCATAAAGTCTCGCCTCGGTCAATCGCTTATGTAGCATGTCAAGTAAGCGTTTTTTTTTCATCTACTTAGCGGCATTAATGACCCGTCATAGTTGCGATTTGCATTGTCATCGGTAACCTCGTGGCGCTCGATGGACAATGACTTCGACTATGTCCAGTTCTGGTACAATGTCGTGGACTTTTTTGAAAGAGCCCCTGGTCGAGCAGCGCAACGCAATGTTGACTGTCTCCTAAAATGGTGGACTAGGTATGTTACGTATAATATGGAGACGTCAACTCATTTGTGTTATCCAGGAAGGTCTTTGGAACTAGTCATCGCGCGGAACTCAGCGACACGGCGAAGGCTAAGATGTCTGTAAATGCTCTCGCTATGCAGAGGGCGCAACGGGACGACGCCCTTTTCGATTCAGACTAGTCGTATCAGGCTAACCATAATGTTGTCGAGCAAATCTCAATTGTAGCTTAATATAATTTTAATATCATAATGTGATTCAAGCATATTTTCTCGCGTGCACTCCCACCTTAAAATGTCAATAGTAATAGTATGAGATATCTGACTCGCGGCCCTGCTCATGGCACAGGGACGAAGCCAGGACGTTCTCCGTCTACGCGCATGATCATTGAGGTACGCTGGAAGGCGACAACCATTGTCAAATAAGTCAAAATGACTGCCCTGTTCATACTATTTGGAATATTTGAGGGACACATGGTAAGCGAGGAACGACGGATGTCCGTTAGACGTTAGACGTTGAAAAGAAATAACTCCCAAATGTCCTCGTCAAGAAGTCCTCTGGTACATCAGGGAAAACCTCCTTCACGAAATCAAGGTAATTTCAGAGAATTCCTCTGAATTCCGCTGAAATAAAAGTAAACGAGATTATTCAACTCCAGTCGAAATTCCTTTGAATTCCTTTGAAATCCTTTGAATTTGCTGATTGATTATCTTGAATTATCTTGAATTCAAACAATGTGAAGACACACGAACATCAAATATATTAGAATTAAACGAGAATATCACAACCGAAAGACGGCAAAAAGATCAGCAGACTCGAAAAAGCACCAGTATGTACAAATGACTCGGAAGGTTGATTAATCTTCACCCATTGCATCAAGATCAAGGTAATCACAAGCGGCGTCCAATGAACCAGCGGGCTCTGAGCTTTCTACTGCACTAATGTTGAATTAGTTAGAGTACACGACGATAACAAATAGCGCGTGAGCAAGACATACCTGACTGCCTTGTAGAGACGCGCCATCAGTACATGGTACTTCTTTCGACTACCGTTAAAGATGCGTGTGAGAGTCGCTTGGTGAGCGTTGTAAACACTGATGTGGAAGGAGGAATTGAATGATTTGACTTGTGCGCCTGAGGGTGGGTTCCCGCTGCTCCAATCCTTCAATATCGAGTAAATCTGCAGAGAACATTATGTAGTGAGCAAACAGAGTAAACATTATCAAGAGCGGCACCTACAAGCGTTGCAATCAAACACACCATAGCAACAGGTAGCTCGGGCTCGTTGTTTCCATCCAAGACCGAGACAAAATCGTCACAGGACTGGACACCAATTGAGTTCTCACCATCGAAAAAAGATAAACGGATGGAGTCAACCATAGACTCGTCACAAAACGGTTGGTCCCCAAGGACCTTACCCTGGGTGGTGGATAAGAATAAGATAAATGAAGAGATAGATAACGAAAAAATGAACAGACCTTGGCGTCGGTTGGGAAAATATACTTGTGACCCTTGATGAGGTCGTCTACCTCGTCACCGCAGCCTTTCTTGAGTCCAAAACGAGAGACCACAATTTGATGCGCGAGTTTCTTGAGATTAGTACGGAAGGAACTAAGCCGTCCCTCCGGCTTGTGAGGATGTCAGTGATGTCCAGTAACATACAAGAAGTGTACATACCACTCCAGCGAGAGCCACCGCATAATCAAAGTCATGCTTGATCCTCTTTGCTATCGCATATTCCTTATGCTTCCCGGCAGCATTATAAACTGCATCGAGAGCCATCTTGCGCTTCTGAGTGATGTTGGGAAATGCGTTGTCGAAGATAGAGGCTTTCTTGAGTTCAAAGACGGCAGTCTTCAACACCTGCTGAATCCGAGTATTCTGAGCCTTGAGGTTGATCGAGCTATCGGCTGAGTAGACTAGATCTGTGAATATAGGCCATGTAAAGGAGTGTTCAGACAACTCCTTATCGGCGGAGGCTGGCAGTGCCTCGTCTGTTAGCTGCCGTGACTCTGCGAATTTGGGCCTCTAGAAAACAGTATATTCATTAGTAAGACAGAGTGATGGGAGCGTAGTAGAGTAGAACACATCACCTCAATTTCTTGACGTGCTTCTGCTACTTTGCTCCTTTTCTTCTTCTTCTTCTTGCTTGGCTGTGGTTTCGAGTTGGTGAGTGATGAAGGCTCGCGGTAATCATAACTTGCCTTGGAACGTTGACTGTCACTGCGGTCACTGGCAGACTCCGTGTCTTTGTCAGCAAACTGCAACTCTGACTCAGACTCGTCAGAAACCCCGCTAGATGTCATCCGAACACTATTCGACAATGTTTTGCTGGTTTGCGATAGTGCGCTGGCAGATCTAGCTGCACGAGGAGGCATCATGTAGGGAATCTTAAATAAAAGGTGCGTCATTTTTTTCATCATTCTCAACTTTGGGTAGCTAAGTGACGACTCACCTCTTTAATCAGTTCCTTCTGGGAGGGTACTAAGTCCTCATCATCGTCTTCTGGAACCTCCGCATTATCGTCCGATTTGTCGGTGTCATGATCACTCTCTCCGTATTCACTGACAGAGTCGTTATCTTCGATTGACACTGCGACTGACTTTGGCAGCTTGCTGTTTTTCTTATCGCGGCCTTGACTTTGACCATGACCGTTGACTTGATCCGCTGTTGAGTATCTCTCATACTGATCTGTTAAGCAACTACTAACCATTGTCTAACTTTTCTGCAGGTGTCTTTCGCGCTAACTTGGCGGCTGGTACTGATTGTAGCGCAGTTACTGTGGGTGCGCACTTACGAGTATTGGTCGTTGTCTCATTCTTTCGCGCTAACTTGGCGGCTGGTACTGATTGTAGCGCAGTTACTGTGGGTGCGCGCTTACGAGTATTGGTCGTTGTCTCATTCCAGACTGAAACAAGGTGTGTCAATGACTGCTTTCTCCAATTGCCTGTACTAACTTTTTCGCTCTAAGGCCTTTACTTTGGATGACCGCTGCAGTGGTTCTTGGTGATGACTGTGAGTCCATCGCATTTTTCTTGGCCTATGGATGTACTCACTCTCTTCTGTATTGCCGGTTTTTTTGCCAGTGGAATCTTGACTTGCCACCTGGGCCTTTCTTTGGGTGTTCCGCTTGTGGGCGGCTATATCTGACGGCGTTGAAGACAGATGGGGACTCGGAGGCATACTACTAGTAGTGTTTGCTTCAGCTGAAGTTGGGAAGGGAAAGGTTGAGACGGTTATGAAAACTTATTGGTGGCCACTCTCATTTTCAGGTCTGTTTTTTTACTGTGCTGTGCCAGCGCTAGGGTCGTTGGTTTTTTTTTCATCTAACGTGTGGTTACAGAAATGGCTAAAACAAGCAGAGCGTCTACTAGCAGAATTTCAAGCTGCAACCGTCAACTTGAATGGTGCTCCCTCTCCTCCCCTCTCAGGTTCAGCTCGCCGCATCATCAAAGAAGCTGAGGCACGTGTAGCCCATGCTGATGGACAGAGAGTCCAGGCAGAAGCATGTACTGCCAGGCAACAAATCCAACTCGGTTCACAGTGTGCCACCATCATTTTAGTACGTTTGTTTGTTGCCGTGCTGTCACCGTAATCTAACCTGTTCTGAAATATCAAGTAAATTCGTGTTGTGTGGCCGCGTCTTCGTACCCTTCCATGCTAAGGAAGGGAGCCTGTACCTTTTTGAAACAACCGCGTCTTCGTACCCTTCCATGCTAAGGAAGGGAGCCTATACCTTTTTGAAACAACCGCGTCTTTGGCCGCGTCTTCGTACCCTTCCATGCTAAGGAAGGGAGCCTGTACCTTTTTGAAACCTGTACTGCCAGGCAACAAATCAAACTCGGTTCACAGTGTGTGAATCTTCACACTGGATAGCACGCTGTAAGGTTTGCACCGTCTCTCTACTACCCATCACTACCTACCTACCTACCACCACTACCTACCGCCTGTTCTGTTGCCAACAAAATGATCACTTGCCCAGGTTGCACCAAAAACTTCGAGCACGCTGGATACTCCCATCACCTAGCCAAGACCACGAATCCATCATGCGCAGCCCTATTACAACATTCTGGTCTTTTTCCTCAGTCAGAGCCTGAGGTTGAGAATTCTGACGGTCTTGATGATGGAGATGACAATGTTGATCCTCGTCATCTAACGGAATTTACAGGAGACTATTTTGGCCACTACAACGAACAAGATCTGGAATGGCCAGATGATAATGACGAAGTTGCAGCGGCGGAGCCTCCTTTGGATTCTGATGGCGAGGAAGAGGATCACAATGCAGAGGTTGAGGTTGAGAATGGGTGGGAACGCCCTGCAGATCCTGTACCGCAGGATATCGACGTTGATGTTTTTGAGGAGTCAGATATGTTGCCACAATCACATGCAGCCGAACGACAAGAAGCGGAGAAAGCCCTTGGTCGCCAGCCCACTATTGAGAAATTTCCGCGGCGCCATGCAGGTGCTCCAATACTTAACTCTGGCACTACCGCTTTCGAGTCTTATAACAATGCTCTGCAAGGCGCAGACAATGTTTGGGCTCCCTTCGCATCTCGCATAGACTACGAGGTTGCAAAGTGGGCAAAACTTCGTGGATCGGGCTCAACTGCTTTTTCAGAGCTGCTTGCAGTCGAAGGGGTGAGTCTTCATTTTCTTGGGTCATGAATGGGCCAACTTTTTAACTACGTTTCTATAGCTTCATGATGCCTTAGGTCTTTCGTATCGAAACACCCGTGAACTCAATCAAATCATTGACCGACACTTACCATGCCGACGACCTCGTTTCAAACGTGAAGAAATCATTGTTGCAGACGAAGCATTTGACGTGTACTCGCGTGACGTCATGGAGTGCGTCAAAGCCCTTTATTCAGATCCGGATTTCTCGCAACACCTCAACTACACTCCCGAACGCCATTATGTCGATGCTGACAAAACAATCCGAATGTATCATGATATGCATACAGGAAAGTGGTGGTGGTCCACGCAGGCGAGTCTTTTGAAAAACGTTCTGATTCATATTGAACTTACCACAATATCATTTAGAAAGAACTCGAAGCAGAGAAACCTGGCGCAACAGTCATACCCATCATCCTTTCCTCCGACAAGACGCAGGTCACCATGTTTAGGAACAAATCTGCCTATCCTGTCTATATGACAATAGGCAACATTCCGAAGGAGATCCG